GCACAGGTCGCACAGCCCGTCCAACAGGCCTGCTCCCCGCTGTCCTCAGTCCACCTGTTCTGGCTGGCGGTAGTCCTTGCTGGCCTGGTCCCGGACATCCAGCGTCACTCCAACTGCTCAGGCCACTCGAACCATGTCCTCTTTCCTCTTCTCTGCTCAGTCTTTCGCTCTTATATTGACCAGATGCATCAACGTCATTCAGTCACGTGATTGTGCATGAGGTTACGGAAGAAATAGTGGATGCTAGCATTGTGGCGAGAGCAAAGCGAACTACAACTCTTCAAAACTGACACTCCTCTCCTAAATCGAGAAGTGGCTCCTTCAACCACATGTTCGATAATGTTATCGGTGGACGTAGGACATCTTGTCAGGGCTCACAATGGCCCTCATTTTTGAAACTTGGGCAGAAAAAGGTGTAAATTTTGATTGTAGATTCAAAGTGCGCAACATCCAACGTGGGATTTATGAATGTATGAGATCCGCCCAGATCTGAGCATACGCAACTGCGGCTGTTCATAAATGCCGTGGTGAAAACTAGCATATTTTTGAAAGTCACGCCTGTAAATATTCAGAAACCGCCAGTTTCACGCCCTATTTTTACGACTGGTCAGCATGGAAGTAGGCCAAGAATACGGTTTGGAAGCCTCAAAAATCCTTTGCCACGCACTCCTGAGTTTATTCATGTTTGTTTAACAATAAATATACGCTATAATAAATATACGCTATATTATATATACGCGTTTTTTCCCTAGTGTCTTGACCCACTGCAGCACTCATCTCTCTTGAACTTTAGAAGTAAATGAATGAATGAATGAATGTTAATATCTCGGCCTCAGCGGTGGCTCTCATCATTAAAGGAGCTATACCCGTTTCTGCAAGGTTTGAATGTTTAGCACCGCCCCCCAACTCGCTCACAGGCTTCTCATTTCCCCTACGCTCTCCTGCCACGGAGCCATCTAGTTGTATTTGCAATCCTTATGCAAACAGTAGCATGAACGCAACATCTTGTAAGCTGTACAACAATCACTGATGAAATGGTACAAAAGCAACGCACTGCTAACAAAATATATGACTGAAAGATTACAGCCAATTCTGCGAACATACTACTGTGTTTAGCAGCGCTGTAGAGGCTAGAGGACGCGGCCTGCTCATAACAGCACCGCTCCTTGTTCTGTGAGTGGAGCAGAGCGCTAAGTTTCTACCAGTGGGGGCGGGTTTCGGCTCAAAAGTGGCCAAAATGACGTGCGCTGACATGCTTGCAATACCACCCCGGGCCGATGGGGGTGGACCCAGAATGCTATAACATATAGCATTTGCAGACCTCTCAAAAACGCCTTTACAGGATGGTCCAAAAGTTGGCTCTCGGCCCAAAGCTCCGTTCCACATGTGTGTCAATGCTGAGGGGGGTGGATTTTTTTGGACCACTCTAGTTTACTTGCTGTGAATTCTTGAAGTCTCTCGTTCAAATGAATGGAGCTCTCGCCAGCTGACGCATGCGCAGATGCGTTTTTTCACTATTTTCTTGTGGGCGGGACCACTCCAGTAGAGCACATTTTTTGGCTTATTAGTTAGAACGGCGGAGATAGGCGTGACTCTGTCCGTTAATATATACAGTCTATGGCAGGCGTGGCCAACCAGTCAGAGACTAAGAGCCAATTTGTTTTACCGTGTTACAGCAAAGAGCCACATCATACAAATGTGCACTACATAAACATCACCCCAACCCTTACACACGCACACGAGCAGACACGCGCACACACATGCAATCTGTCTGAGAAGAGGGAGGTGTGCTCTGCTCTGACAGATGTATTGTAAATGTCATCAACATGATAATGACAGAAATTGACTCGTACAGTACTACAGTAAAGGGCTGGACTCGACTCTCCCTGGTTTGCGGGCGCTTCTACCGCTCGCTTCAACCGCTCCCCGGTACTTTTCATTAATGGTTTGGCTCTGGTTCTAACCGGGCGAGTCGATACCAGAACAATTTCACGTCAGCGAACATCAATTATGATTCCGAAATGAATGCTTTCAATCTCTAACCAAGAAAAAAAATCAAGTTTCAACCCAGTGTTCAGCAGAAACACAACTGTCTTTATCAAACCATGATTCACTCTGACTGCGTTTAGTAAAAGATATAGATTTGACACATAACACCAACACCACTTTAGCTGATTTAGAACCACAGACACATGTTCAGTATAAGACCAGATACTTTTGCATTTGATTGAAGACAGACACTCACCAGGCAGAGTTGGCTCATCTCCTGGTGTCACGCTAGCTGGTGTTAGCTGGTTTTAGCATGTTAGCTGGTGTTAGCCGATGTCCTTAAATGTAATCCATTTGGTCAAACCACCTCCAGACTTTTCGGGTCTGTCTCTACTTCTGCTGCTGCGATCTTTCATTTCACGGTTGTCACTTTTAAGCTTTTTAACTTTTCTGTGCATTGTCATGTTTTTGGGAATCATTCTGCTCCGTCCTTAGCGCTAGCTCCACAAACACCTTCTGGTTTCTGGTGGAACCATCGAGCTCACGCTGTTGTCCTCCCCTCAAACTGAGGAAGGTGTTGCCCTCATCCAGCGACCAAGGAATTGTTTTCCGTACGGACGTCATGGGTCGAGGCAACATGTTGTTTGTTATTATATTTGCAACAGCTGAAGCAGCAGCTGCAGAGTGATTGACAGCGCATCTGACCAATCAGAATTGACGTTCGTCGACGTCAGATTGTTTTGGTGGCCTGGCTAGTGGAGTGAAGTCGGCCTTTACTATGGGTCAGAACTACATAGGGAATGAATGGCAGCGCCACCACCGAGGCGTTTTTGACGCTTGTTGTGTGGAAGCCCGAGAGCCGCACGGAATCAGCCAAAGAGCCGCATGCGGCTCACGAGCCGTGGGTTGGCCACTCCTGGTCTATGGTCTCTACTCAGCACTTTTTACGGCCTGAATTCATACACAAGCGGTATCAATGAGGTCTGGTTCTCCCGGTTGTATGAACTCCCATAATGTGTTGCGCCCATAGACTGTATTAACGGACGTAGTCACGCATATCTCCGCCGTTCAAACTAATGGGCCAAAAATTGGGCTCTCATGGAGTGATTGAAAATGGCCGCGGGGGATGGAAAATGTGAAAAAACGAATCTGCGCATGCGTCAGCCGCCACGAGCCCCATTTTTCTTGACTTCAAAGATTCACAGCTAGTAAACTAGACTGGTCCAAAAAATTTCACCCCCCTCAGCATTGACACAAATGTGGAACGGAGCTTTGGGCCAAGAGCAAACTTTTGGACCATCCTGTAAAAGGTGTTTTCGAGAGGTCATCTAATGCTATATGTTAGCATTGGCTACCGGTGTCCACCCCCATCGGCCCGGGGTGGTATTGCAAGCATGTCAGCGCACGTCATTTTGGCCACTTTTGAGCCGGGACCCGTCCCCACTGGTTGCGCCTAATACGCGTGTGTGGCTGTCATGCACGTGCACAGAGGGGCTCGGCCGCGCTCTGACCAATCAGAACTGCTCATCGGAGTGGAGCTAGAGCTGGAATTAGAGCGCGAGCCAGAAGTGCAGAGTTTGTGGCACTAAAGTGTGGATTTAAAGAAAACTGAAGGATTTAAGGGACACTAAAATCCCCACAAAATCCGACCTTTATGAAAGCTGTAGGTTCTCTGTCAGCTGAGGTCGAGCTGTTTACTGTAAGTTTACATTGAGTTCTATGGGGAAAATTTCTGGGTAGCCTGCATGAATTAAGTCTGCAGTACCACGAGAATCCCCCGAGCATGTGGGTCCTTCTGCTCCAAGCTAGTAATACCCTATCCAGTTATCATAATAGAGCCATGGTTCCTACAGATAAGTGTGTTGCATCCTATCTCTGCTACATGCGGAGTACAGGGCAGTGGCTGAGACAGTTTTGAGTGAGACCATCGTGCGTTTATGGGGCTTTATGCACAAAACTAAGGACAAAACACATTGCTTTGCCAAAGGTGAATGAGGAAAACAAATGCGTAATTATGCAGCCCAGGGTCTGCCACAGATTTACAGATTTATTTGAATAGCGCCTTTCACAGACCAGGATCACAAAGCACTTTACATTTAAAAAACAAACAGATGAAAATAATACGCTCAAGTCAGATTTAAAAACGAAGAAACAGAAGAGAGTCCTCAGCATGAGCTGTGATTTTTTCACAATTTGCGTGTTCCATTAGAGTTTTTTCTGATGGGAAAATTCAAATTTTTAAACATGATGCTCATTGAAAACGCAGCTTATAATTTTGCCAGAGTGGGAAAATGTTTATTGTTGTCCAAATCATGAATTCCATGCGTGTTTTGATGTTGTGATGAAGGTTGAAATGAGCGTATACATTTACACCACCTCCCGACTGGGTGTATATTTTGTGCGTACCGTACGCTCACGTCCAGATTGATAAATGCCGAAAAGTGTACATTTTTTGCGTACAGCCAAATCAGGGTGTACACAAAAAATTTACACTTTTCGGCAGTTTCATAAATGAGGGCCTTCGAGTCTATGTCAATAGTTAATGTCATGTTTCACCAGTAATATTCAAATTGTTGTTCCTTTGGAAAATTGTCTTTTTAGCCATTGTATGTTATTTCATTACATTTTCGCATTTTTAAAGATCTATGGTGGGTTATTTTACTTTTCCCCAAATTTGAGCTTTTAAGTTCAGCCACCTTCAACCCACATACACCAAACATTGTTAAGATATTTTGTACAGTCAAAGATCACAACATAAGTCATTTCAGATTACTTCACAAACTTGTTGATTAACTAATGCCGAACTGTAAAATTAAACTACTAAAACAGAAATTGGTCATAACCAATGCTTCAGCAAGTGGATCAGGGACCCATGACATGGCCTGTCTCTAACTCCCCTTTTTGGCAATGATACAAAAAAGATAATTAAAATGTGATTAAAATGTCCTACTAAAAAATTTCTGCAAGTAACTTGTTATGAAAGTCACAGTGACAGACACAGGTTGTTGCAGGTATCGGCTATGCAACACAGGTGGTCATCGCTTACGCCGCAGTGTCATACATTGTGATCCAGGCTTGGGCCTTCTTCTACCTCTTCCACTCCTTCAGCAAAGAAGTTCCCTGGGCAAGCTGCAGAAATGACTGGAACACAGGTAAGGGCTTCACATAGCCTTAAGCTCAAAAGTTTTCTTTGATGTACATGTCTACACTACATGTCTATGTCTATGAACATTTTTTCAGATGTAGGATTAATTAAATTGAGTTAAAACTATGCTACAAATGAAGAGCTGCTTTCAAAATGCTTATTGCAACATTCACAAGTCTACTAGGTTACATAACTATGAAATACTTTTACAATACCAGTGCAATAAATCAGGATTTTAATTTATTATGCGCCATTTCATGCCCTCATTGAACCTTTTTATGATTCACATATATATTTTGGCCTGTAATAAAATGTACCTCCTTGAACACACTCTTTTATTCAATAACTTGCTTCTTCAGAAAACTGTGTAGAGTTTGACAAGACTAATTCATCCTACAACTGGACAGCATCACCAAATGCAACAACACCTGCGACTGAGTTTTGGGAGTGAGTAACCTTTGACGTTTCTATCAATAGACTAGAACGTGCACTCGGAGATCACATACCCCGCCAAGGTCACGGAAAGGAAAACTTGGAATGGTTTAAAATAACAAAGTTTTTGGACCATTTTTATGCATACATTAGTTTACATCAGTTTTTTTCTGTAATTCCTTCTCTAAACTGCATAATAAAATATTGCTTTTTAAAATTATATATAAACTCCGCAATGAATTGTGCCGTTTTTCTCCCAACACATCTCCACAACAAACCGTCAGCTCAAACCTGCCTACAGACAGACACACACCCACAGAGGGGACTCACATTACACCTTGGTGGGGTAAAAAAATAGACATTCAAAAAAATGCTTGATTTCATTGCATTTACATTACAGTGGGGGCAAAAAAGTATTTAGTCAGCCACCAATTGTGCAAGTTTTCCCACTTAAAAAGATGAGGGTTGCCTGTAGTTTTCATCCTAGGTATACATCAACTATGAGAGACAGACATCACATTGTCTGATTTTGAAAGAATCTTTTTGTAAATTATGGTGGAAATTAGTATTTGGTCACCTACAAACAAGCATGATTTGTGGCTCTCACAGACCTGTAACTCCTTATTTATGAGGCTCCTCTGTCCTCCAACTGTTACCTGTATTAATGGCACCTGTTTGAACTTGTTATTGGTATGAAATACACCTGTCCACAACCTCAAACAGTCCCACTCCAAACTTCACTATGGCCAAGACCAACAGACTGTCAAAGGACATCAGAAACAAAATGGTAGACCTGCACCAGGCTGGGAAGACTGAATCTGGAATAGGATAAGAAATTGACTGTGGGAGCAATTATAAGTAAATGGAAGGCATACCTCTGAAAATCTTCCTCGATCTGGGGCTCCAGGTAAGATCTCACCCCGTGTGGTCAAAACAATCATGGTGAGCAAAAATTCCAAAACCACACAGAGGGACCTAGTGAATGACCTGCAGAGAGCTGGGACAAATGAAACAAAGATACCATCAGTTACACACTATTAGCCAGGGACTCAAATCCTGCAGTGCCAGATGTGTCCCCCAGTACATGTCCAGGCCTGTCTGAAGTTTGCTAGAGAGCATTTATGATCCAGGAGGGACTTGGGAGAATGTCTTTGGTCAGATGACACCAAAATAGAATGTTTTGGTAAAAACTCAACTCGTCGCGTCTGAAGGAAAGAATGAATGAGGCCATGTATTGTATCGTAAGATTTTGAATGAAAACCTCCTTCCTCCAATGCAAGGCCATTGAAGATGAAACGTTGCTGGGTCTTTCAGCATGACAATGATCCCAAGCGCACGAGCAATGAAGGAGTGGCTTCACCTGTCATTGCCGACAAAGGTTATACAGTATTGAGATTAACTTTTGTTTTGTTTTTCCCCCATAATTTTCAAATCATCCTTTAAAAATAAGACTTGTGATTTTCTGGATTTTATTTTCTCATTCTGTCTCTCATAGTTGAGTTATATCTATGCGGCACGGTGGCTGAGTGGATAGCACTCTCGCCTCTCAGCAAGAAGGTCCTGGGTTCGAATCCCGGTCGGACCAGGGCCTTTCTGAGTGGAGTTTGCATGTTCTCCCCGTGTCTGCGTAGGTTTCCTCCGGGTACTCCGGTTTCCCCTACCACTAAAAATATGTCCAATAGTTCTGGCATGTGCCTCCTGTACTGGCGACTCTGCTCCCATCTCTGTGTGGAGTGAGAGACAAATGCCCAAAATTAACAATTGTAAACCGCTTTGAGACTCAGATCTGCAGTGAAAAGGCGGTATATAAATAAAAACTTACTATGATGAAAATTACAGGCCTCCCTCGTCTTTTTAAGCGGGAGAACTTGCACAACTGGTGGCTGACTAAATACTTTTTTTGCCCCACTGTATATCCTCTAAAAAAAGTTGTTTCTTACTGATGCTGATACTATTGGTACCGGTACATGCAAAATAGTTAACTCAATCCAATAATGACTTATGATTCCTAAAGGTGCTATATAATTTGTTCTTTTGATTTACAGTGTAGGATTTCTACCGTCCAGGGAATTAAGATACATTACTCTAACTACTTTGAATGCTTTTAATTCATCAGACACAGAGATATGCTGCCATTTCCATGCATTTGAACAAAAATACTAATTTTCAACTTTACCTACCATTTTTATAAAGTCTCAAAAGTGTCTCAAAAAGCCTGTCTGTAAATGGCATTCTTCATAAGCATTGAGATGCATACACACACACACACACACACACACACACACAAATTGGGATGGGAAAGTTCTCAAAGTCTCTCTAATCAAATGTATGACTGAGTTTGTATGGCATTGTTGTGTTGTATTACACAGGCGTCGGGTGCTGGGTATATCTGACAGCATTGAGAAAATTGGGAGTCTGCGATGGGAACTCGCCTTATGCCTTTTATTGGCTTGGGTCCTTTGTTACTTCTGTGTTTGGAAAGGAGTCCGATCCACAGGCAAGGTACAACCAAAATATCGTCACTATTTCACAGAACAGTGGCCACCAGTCTCCTCCGACTGTAATCTCAACAGGAATATTTAAGACAAACTTTTAGTCAAATCTCATTTCAATTAGTAAGTCAATCATTAAGTCTCATAAATAATCCAACTCTATGCCTCATTCAAAAGCGATTTGCTCATACCTCTAATGTAATTTTAGTTTGATGTTATAAGGAAAATACACAGAAATTATAAATGATTAATGTTCTCTATCTTATCCAGATCGCAAAAAACAGAAGTCAGTTAAAATAAAGCTGGTTACTTTTGAAAACATCCAATTCATCATCCATCTCTTGTCCCTGTGACGACAGGTGGTCTACTTCACTGCCACTTTTCCATACGTGATGCTGGTGGTCCTCTTGGTCCGGGGCCTCACTTTACCTGGAGCGATGAAAGGCTTGGCTTTCTACTTGTATCCAGATCCCACACGACTGGCTGATCCGCAGGTAAGTTAGAGGCATATGTATGCTTGCAAAAGTACTTATGCTACTTGAACATTTGCATTTTCTGTCATGTTTATGTCCACAAACATAAATATTTTAGTTTAGATGGTTTTCTTGTTTTTTGTTAAGACCACAACAAAGCAACAGGCATGGCATCTGTGAAGTGAAAGAAAAACTATTTTCAAAAACAACTGAAAATGTGAATGGTGAAACTTGGTTTCCACTGCTGTTAGAACCACAATTTAGTCTAAAGGTCTAAAATTAGACACCCTAAAATGCAATTATTTACACAATATATTGTTAAAACGCACGTCTTAATATTTGTTTAGTGCTAAAAAGGGCTGGACAAAGTAAGTAATCATGCAAGTACAGGTGACAGGTGCAAGGGAACTGGTATAATGAGGGTGACCAACATGGTTTCTAACAGAATCAGAATCCTTTTTATTGCCATGTGAGTAATATGAAGTCATACACTAGGAAATTGCTTTGGCTCTCGGTGCAAACAAGTTAAATCAGATTAAAATCAAAGGCATGCATAAATACAAATCTGCATAAATGTCATTTCGGTTTACTGTATACCATGTGCACTAGGTGAACACAATATACCCGTTAGAGTGCCACAGAGTGCAGTAAAGTGACAGTAGCATAAAGTGACGGTCAAAGGTCAGAGGTCAGAGATGGTTTATAAAGTGTTCATGAGTCCAATAGCAGAGGGGAAAAAACTGTTCTTATGACGGGAAGTTCTGGTCCTGATGGACCGCAGTCTCCTGCCCGAGGGGAGTGGTCTTTTTTTTTTTCATTCCTTCCAACAAGTATTTGTTTCAACAAGCAATTTCAATCAGGAGAGACTCGAACACAGAAAAACGGGTCTTATAAGAATTGCATATTAGTTGATAATTAGTCTGATGCTATATAAATTAGCACACATGACACTAAAGACAATATGAAGTTATAGGAAGTAACTGACGAGGCGATGATGGGGAGGAGGAGGGTTGCTGCATAAAAAATAAAGCTGCTGTTTGAGAAAGCTTCCTGCACATATGAATGATTGATCCAGGGCAATACTTAATTCGGGCGTTCTGCTCTCCCAAAATTTCATCCACTGAGCGGCGCTGTGATCAAAAAATGACACCGTTTGTTGCCCAGTTCACTTCCGGTTGATTTCATACAATGGCGAATATGGCTCACGAAAACAACAAACGATTGACAGTGCCTGAATTGCGTGAAAGGTTGAAGCGAAAGGGTATTTGCAGTGTGGGAAAACGAAAGGAGGAATTGTTGTTGCTAGTTCAACGAGCGGATGGTGTTTATGAAGATTTAGAAGAAGATGACAGCGAGCAGAGTGAACGAAAACGGCTGTGTGTGCGAGTGACAGATGGTAACAATGAGAATGAAGTTCAGCTAAGAGGGAAGAATGTGAATTGGACGGATGATTTGCGCGATATGCCACTAGTTAGAGACGGGAATGTATTTGCATACAGAAAATGACGAAAACAGTCAACCATTTAGAGAAAATGCGCCGGGCAGAGAGAACCGGAAGTTGCGAAGGCAAGTGTTACCCATAATGCAACGCAAAATTCAGTCGCTCCCCCGCCCATCGGATGGAATTTTGGGAGAGCAGAACGCCCGAATTGTAGTACATTACACTCTTCCTAAAATTTGACAGTCTCTACTGTACCCCTCCTCCCCAAAATATCATGTGGATGAGAAGTGGAAGAAAAAAATAATACAAGATTTTATTTGTCTTAGGTATGGATGGATGCAGGTGCACAAGTTCTCTTTTCCTTTGGGATCTGTCAAGGAACACTAACATCCCTTGGCAGCTACAACCAATATAACAACAATGTTTACAAGTGAGTTATTATGATTGTATCATCTTTTGTCTGAATAAAAAATATAAAGACCATTTTCCTTTTCTTTCAGGGACACATTCATTCTATGTTTAATAAATGGAGGCTCAAGTTTTGTAGCTGGTTTTGCTATCTTTTCTGTTTTGGGTTTCATGTCTTATGAGCAAGGCCTGCCCATATCTCAAGTGGCGGCATCAGGTATTTATATGCTTTCTTATCCTTAATAACTTATATTACTAAACATTAGTGGCAACATAACACACATGTTGTTAGCTCAATTAAAAAACACAGGGTTATAGCATCGATGTTGACTCCATCATGTGTGAAGTGAAGACAGTCTCGCGTGGGCATCAACATGAACACAAAAACATTTGTGCATATGAAAACACAACTTAAAACTGGATTACCTCACTTTTTTTTAAATTAAGGCAGTGCATTGGGTCATATGTCCTTTTGAAGAATAAGTAGCACTGGTTTGTGCTGGCGTGTAATTTTATCATAGTAAACATTATTGTGCAGCAAGGAAGATAATTTGTTTCAGACCCGGATTGTGACCAATCACAGCAGACCACTGATCCCCTCTTCACATGCAGAAAATCTGCATGTCTCGCACAGACAGCTGTGGTAAACATCATGGCGGAGGCAAACCTGAAACTTTCCGTGTCTTCGTTACCGGTTACTGCTTATACAGCGAACCAGCCACCCAAAAGAAAGTCTCGTCCTCCGCGTTCTCTGGTTCTATCATTCTATGGTCACGCCCATCCATGTTCAAATGTGCGATCCATATTGTGAGACGTGAGCTCCGTAAACAACAGCACATGAGCACACGCTGAGTGGGAGGGGGGTAGTGGGGGGGGGGGTGATAGCTTTGTGAGTGCGGGGAGCAGAAAGAGCGAGGGCAGCGCTTACTTTTGAAACTGCTGCTTCAAAGTCACAAAGTGAGTTAGTCCAGCTTTAACACGTCACCCAAATGCATTTTTATTAAATTTGCCTTTTATGAGACATGGCAAGGTCCAGGTTTGGTCAAGCATCATTTAAGACTTGTTTTAATACCTCTTAGCCAAGTTTAATGTCACCTGGGACACTGAAAAATATAAGGAATGGGATTTTTATGTAAATTCGGATGCAACCCAAGTATTATCTTAAGCTGTAGATTTCAATCATCTACATTGAATGATTATGAAATAACTTTTGCAGGTCCTGGTTTGGCTTTCATAGCTTACCCTCGAGCCGTGGCGATGATGCCGCTGCCTCAGCTGTGGTCCGTGTGCTTCTTCATTATGGTGATTCTTCTTGGGGCAGATACACAGGTGAGGCTGCAGCATCGTGCATGTGAGGGTGGTGCTGTTTTGTGGTTGTGCTCACAGTCCCTGTCAGTTTGTCAGTCTGGAGTGTCTGATGACTTCAGTGACAGACATGTTCCCCACTGTTTTTCGAAGAGCCTACCGACGAGAACTACTGCTGCTATGCCTCTGTGCCGTTTGCTTCTTCCTGGGACTGCTCTTGGTCACAGAGGCAAGTTGATTTGAAATGACTATAAACCTGTCCTAGCAACTATATGACAAAATGTACATAACACATACATTTATTTATTTCTATCATTTGTGCCTGTTTGCAGGGAGGGTTGTATTTTCTTCAGCTCTTCGACCATTATGTCTGTAGTGGGAACAACCTCCTTCTTTTATCCGTTTGCCAATCAGTTGCTATAGGATGGATTTATGGTAAGCATCACTGCAATGTATTTATCAAATGCAGCCATTGCAAAATTATTCGATAGATTTAGGACATTCCATATTTTTATTGATCATTGATCAATACGGGAATAACAGGAGAAGCAAACAAAAAATATGATGTGTATAAGTTCAATAGCATATGCAATATGTCTCTTAAGCATATTCTACAACCAATTATTAGTATATCTGTGTGTATTGAGAAGAAAGACAATACAGATACTGTATATTTTGGAGAAATAGCAAAAACGCTTATTGCTGACATATACAGGATAACATATTTTGCATTTCTGCAACCACTCCCTGTTAAGGTGAAATAGATCACCAATAAAACCAGAAGATATAAAAGTTTTTTATGTAATAAAAAACCAAACCTCATCATATAAATCTTTTATTGAATGATAAGATACTTCTTTATTATCTATCGGCAGTTACAGATCCGTTCCTTTTACTTTACTGAAATCTACCCCTTAATTTTTTCTCATGCACAAAGCGGTATAGGGAAGGGAAAAGGGAAGAGGTACAAGCCCAAACCAAAACTTTTCAGATGCCCCTTTGAGACAGAGGAAACAGTATGTTTCAACAAACAAGGACGTGTGCTGGCTAAATTTCTCAAATTCAATAAATAAGCTCTATAATGACATCTAATAAGTCTTTTGATGATACTTCATTGGATTTGCTCGCTTTGCACCTACATACAACCAGGAGAGCGAATTAAAAACCATCTTTTGAATTGTGCATTGAATCAGAAGGTTGGTCACAGCTCATGTCATTTGCTGCCACCGTTGTGGACACAGTCGGTTTGACTTGTCTGTTATGTTTACATAAACTCCCGGAGGCCAAAGCTCCGCTAAACGGGCAGCCTCTCCACATACACACTGTGAGCATGGGGCAGGAGAGCGTGTCCTGAATAAGACAGAATATTAATTGCACATGAAATACAGTGAAATATTTTAAGAATGTATTTGTTGTCATTTTCTCACTTTCTGAACGGACCGACACAAATATTGTTACCGCACAGAACCTGGCACAATGTGAATTATATAAGTGACAGAACAATGGCTGACTCATTTCACAGGGCGATGTTTTTTAACATTATAAAATCAATTTTAAAGGGAATTGGTTCAGTAGACGAATGTTTAGGTGGAATCATGTAATATGTGAAAAGAAGTCACAGCAAATGTTTGTATAAACTCTTGAGTTGAGGAATGTTGCTGAAAATATAACAATTAACCATGTGTTTTTCTTTTTTATTGTCCAATTATGGTCTAGCAAAAGAAAACCATTCACCAGTAAACCTGTTGCAACATAGTTGTGGCCAAAGACTTTCTCTAACATGGGTGACCAAAACATTCCTGAGTGTATTGTGAATAAAGTTCCACCATATTTCAAACACAAATTGCTACAGATTAATTGAGTAACATTACTACCAATGAAACAAGCAAAGTTTACTCATTAATATACCTTACTCTTCATAAAGCAAAGTCAGCTCTGGAATTCCCCTTTCTGTTGTGGTCCTGAGAGCCGATGGCTCTAACCACTGCACCACAATTATTTGTATTTCAATTATAGTGTCATTTAGAAGTGACAGACAAGGATGAGAGACCTTTCCTCCCTTGAAAGCATTTTCAGAGAAAATTAATGGCAAAATAAAAACTCTTTACAAAGGTTAACATCCAAGACAAAACTGAATGTCCTCATCTGCCAAGTATGACTTTTTGTGTTTGAAATATACATAAAATATAGATATTAAGTACATGCAGGTTTTTTTTTTTTTTTTTTTTTCATCCAGATCTATCTCCTTTAAATCAATCATTGTTAATCCGTTTTACTGCAGACAAATTTATGCAATGCAACAGCATGTTCGTTCTTGTTACATACCTGATTCAAACATAATTTGAATTGACAAACTGGCAGCAAATGAAGTGAAGCCGAAAGGAAACACGTGTTGAGAGTTGACAATGTCAAACCGGATTAACACATGAGTGTAGCAGAGAACAAGGGCCCAATGTATAGATACAGGAGCCTTATGTGGCCTTGTAACGGTTAACTATGTAGCACTTACATTCAACAAGAGTTTGAACGTAAGCTTTGACAGTTGGTGACAGCCAGTGGCACTCAACAAAATGGACTGACAAACAAGTAATTATAAAGGCATTTGTCAAAAGCTTCAAAACATGCTAGTGGAAAGAAAACAACGTGCTTTCTACTATACACTTTCACCACAGTACAAGGCCTTAGGTGTTCTTATGAGACAAAAAGTCTTATTAGAAGAACATCTTAGAGGAACAGCCTTAAACATGAACAACACAATGAACTTTAACATATCAGATACTAACTTTGAATCTTTGCTTTTCTTTAGGTGGGGATCGTCTTTATGATAACATTGAGGACATGATCGGTTATCGGCCTGGTCCGTTAATGAAGATTTGCTGGCGATATGTCACTCCAATTGTTTGCTTTGTATGTACATAATATTATTATAATATACTATATTAATAGATATACTACATATTGTATATTAAGTTCATCTCAGACACAAATGCTTAAGATCTATTACTTGATAAAGAACATGGGACCTGGGATAGACTTATTGCAGTGATGCTGCCAAAAAAAAATCACATTCATCCCCAAAATTGTATCTTATTTAATTGTTTTTGTAATTGCAGGGAACATTCCTTTTCTCTGTTGTTTGGTACAAGCCTCTGAAGTTCAACAAAACCTATGTGTACCCGAACTGGGCCTATGCTCTGGGCTGGTCTCTGGGCCTATTCTGTGTCCTGCTGGTGCCTCTGTGGATGATCTACAGGCTTGTCACGATGAAGGGGACAGTATTACAGGTACTGCTTTAACTTGTGTGGAGGAGGGGGGTTCCAAGATGCTGTAGACATGAGAGGTGAGATCCATTACGGATAACGCTAAGAAGGTAAATACGTGTTCAGGATCAACTTCTAACAGTATGCACACAAGTTCGAGCTACACATTTTTTTATGACATTTTCAAAAGATAATTGTGTACTACACCTGAGTAATTCTTATTTTTCTTATTTATATATTATTATTCAGCCTCAAACCAAAATGGGTTTGATGCCTTTTAGGGCTGCAAATAATGATTATTTTGATGAAGTATTAATCCAGCAAATATTCCCTGGATTAATTGATCAGTAGAATTTAGATATCCATCCTTCCATGTTCTTCCCCTTAATCTATTTCTGGGTCGGGGACCAGACCAGCCCCTCACTGATCCTCCTGCAGGTGGTGAGTCCACAGGAGCCTTGATCTTTCAGCAGAGGCTTCAGGCAAAGTGGGGTTAAGTGTCTTGCCCAACAACTCAACAACAGCAGACATCAATTGGAGTCATGAAGTAGGTCTTACGGTGGGCTCAAACCCAAGACCTTCAGGCCCAAAGGCCAATGCTCAACCATAGATCATTATTTCCCAGAAGCTAGTCTAATTAGGTGCAAAAGAAGCCAATCAAAGCTCAAGACTTTTGGTTGCTTCCAAAGGTGTCTCATAATTTCCTCTAATTACTCAAATTTTATAAAAATAATTGTGCATGAAATTACTTTCAAATATACATTATAAGCAAATGCTCGCCAAATGCAGTCACATCAACAATATGTTTACTTTGGGCATTTGGATTTCACACATGCTCAGCTGCTGCAGCATATCATTGGATTTCCATAGCACTCTTAAAGGCACCATAATTCCTTGAAGTGATAGTCTGGAACTCTAAACTGTTTTAAATTGACCTGGTGGCCATGATGCCGTCCACTTTAACCAATCAAGTGATACCAAGGGCTGTCAATCATCGCGCTCGTGCTCGTGTATAATTAAAACATTAAATATATATATTCGAACGAATAACTGACAGCCCTTAATATTCGAAGCTGTAATGGGATTATCTTTTTTAAATGATATATGCATATACAAAATAGTTAGTTCCCAAAGGTTTCGCCGTGACGTGGCTAGACGGGTAACAGCTAGGCGCTAGTAGGTTACTTCAAAACTAGAACTCTCTGGAACTACATGAAAACTGAACAAAGAATTCTCAGCGGTGAGTGACCCAAAATATAAAATCAACCTAAATCCATAATCAGATCCTCTGCAAATGTGTCCTAACATTTTCTACAAATGTTAATGGTTACTTCCGGGTTTACCACAATCACTTTTTGATGCATTAAAACAGTATTTTTGTCATGAAAACGTTAACAGATCATTCTGAAAACCACCGTGCACGATTGCTGAGAATGTATATGTATAACATATTCTCCGATTAACATATAAATGTGTTGATTGATTGATATTTTTGTTATTGAGCGTGGCTCGCTTCGACAGCTTCTCTCGCTCAGACAGAAGTAATAAGTGACAGGCGCTGAAAGCCCGTTGTGACGAAGTGTACGAACTACTGTCCAGAGTGATCTCAGTATTTTACACACCTGAAGTACAAGCACAGAGTGTGTTGCCAAAGGGCAGCGGTCATTATTGGTTTGAGAGGTCCGTTATGATCGGTAGAACGTTTTTTGAGATTACGTTCAAATCAATGGAGCATTCTTCTGCTGCTGTGAGGAGCTGTATAGCAAATTATGATTAAATATTCGAATATTTAAATTGATAATCTTTCCTCCGCACGTCTTGGACCATTGACTTGGCGCGGCTTCAAGACCAATCAGAAAGGAAGGGAGCTTGGGTCTGGTTTTTCTTTCAAATCATGTACCTCTCTATTTTTTCCGACAAAATCCAGACTATCACTTTGATTACCATAATTACATTTTGTTTTTGTTAGACTACAGACCTTTACTATGTCAAGTACCAAAACAAAACAACAAAACGCATGCTGAAAGGGACAAACAAAAAGAGTGAGTACCCCCATATCTGTCTAAATACATAGTCTGGCTTTTTCCTATGCGCTCAAATGCATCACTGCCTGTTGTCTCATTCCAATTCGGTTGATGTGTAAACAAGCACCAGCATCTTGGAATGTGATGGTTTTTCACAACTCAATTGCCGCACACAAATGTATATGCGTCTTTAACAATCAAATTAATTTGGAGGTGGAGAATTCAGTTTTCACGAATGCTTTGTAAACACACTCATGTCTCATCAGGAGACATAATGAGGGGAGAGGTAAGAAAACCCAAGTTTGAGCTCTTATTGGCCTTAATGGTTTTTAGACAAGGTGACATTGCCATTAGGCAAGGCAAGGCAAGTTTATTTGTATAGCACAATTCATACACAAGGCAACTCAAAGTGCTGAACAAGATAGCATTAAAATCATAAATAATCACAGAACATTAAAACGAAAGATAAAAATATAAAATCTCTCAGTTGTATGCACAGCTAAACAGCACCGTTTTTAACTTGGTTTTAAACATTGTCAGAGAGGAGGCCTGTCTCACATCTTCAGGAAGATTGTTCCAGATTTTAGCAGCATGAATCTGAAAAGCAGCCTCCCCATGTTTAGTTCTGACTCTGGACACTAACAGGAGTCCAGTCCCTGTGCTCCTCAGAGTTCGGGCTGGTTCATATGGGACTAACATGTCACTAATATATTTTGGTGCGAGGCCATGGAGAGACTTGTACACAAGCAGAGCTGTTTTAAAGTCTATTCTCTGAGCCACAGGAAGCCAGTGCAGAGACCTGAGAACTGGACTAATGTGGTCGTACTTCCTGGTTCTAGTCAGGACTCGAGCTGCTGCATTTTGAATGTACTGCAGCTGTTTTACAGCCTTAATGAACATTACATGTTCATTAAGATCAAGTTTGAACATGTTATGTCTTTTTGGAGGCTCTAGAACATCTGACCACAGATGTAAAGTCCCCTATTTTCTCTCTATTATTTATGAATTGCCATTTTAATTCATTTAACTTTATTCCACCAGAATCTGAGGCAGCTTTGTCGGCCTGAGGTGAAGACTCAGAGTAAGAAAGGCTCTGAGCAGTGTCCTCTGAACCCAGACACAAAGGCGCCCCCTGTGGACGTCAAAGGCAATGGCGCAGTGGAGCTGGAGCTTCAAGCCTGACTCTGCACTATTACAGTTTTGTCTTTTTTACATGTTTGTGTATGTTTTGGTACTTTATAAGCTGAGTTTTATACAAGAAAAGGCAACCACAACATATGTTGATGATATATTAACTTTTTATAATGTTGAAAACTTTGATATAGGTAGCATTTATATTTAGGAGTTTCTTAAATGGGAAATATGAAGATAATGTTGAGACTTTTAAAATATTTGAAAATCTATTTATCTAATATCTGCAAGAACACCATCATAGCAGACAATCATAGTCTTCCTCTGTAAAATGTCTTTACAAATGCTTTTGTTCAGCTCTATGCTGCCAAATGATGTATTGTGATGGTGTATTCTATGATAGCACTTTTCACTATTTTGAAACCAGGCACAAATAAAAGCCTTTTTATGTAGCTTTGGAATCTAATGAGCCAAATAAGTCAATCATATCTCATGCATTTAACAAACATCTTTGAAATTGTATTTGTGAAATTCTTTCAATAAAGTATTTCTCATGGAAGGCTGGTAAATACTGATTGATATAAGTTCAACTAAATTTCACATCCAATACACTATTGGCACAGCAAAATGTTTTTTCACTAAACTACAAAAAGTTTGGTATATTTGCTCCCCTCGAGTGAGGATGTCTTGATGAAGAAAACTTCTAGCCCGTACAAATTCTCCTTTTAGGCCATACGTTTTTTCCCCTTTGGCCCCTGGCTCCGCCTAGAAACGGTGTCCATAAAGACAGTGAACAGAACCGGTGACAAAGGGCAGCCTTGGCGGAGGCCAACATGCACCGGGAACAGGTCTGACTTACTGCCGGCAATGGAAATGCAGCTTTAGCTCCGGTCATACAGGGATCCCCATACTTACGGAGATCCCCCCAAAAGACACCCCGGGGGAACATGGTCGAAAGTCTATTCCAAATCCAGAGAGCACTACATGTGCTCTCTGGATTCGGAAAAGGCTTTCGACAGGGCCGAACTCACATGAACCCTCAAGTATCCGATGGAGAGTATAGAGGTGGTCCAGTGTTCCGCAGCCAGAACCTCTTCAGTACGCTGAGAAGTGTGATACCACAATAATCGGAACACACCCTCCGGTCCTCCTTCTTGTAGAGAGCTACCCCGGTCTGCTACTCCATAGGCACCGCCCCCAAGCGCCATGTGTCAGCCATGACAGTCCTACACCATGTTATGAGTTATGTACAATTACCCATTTTTGACTGATCTGTGCCACGCACAATTCAATTTAATTCAACTATATACAGTAGCCCTCAAGCCATTTGGTCATCTTGAGGTCTTCCTTACAATTTAGAGGCAGTCATATTGTATTGTGGTGTACTTGCCCAACACAGCATTGAGGTAATATAAGTGAGGTGACCAGAAAATCCACTATGGTCACTTTGACAGCCTGGGCCTTATCTACAGATGGGAATTAGCCTTTGGCTATAATCTGGCATGTTTACATTCATGTTTTTAATGTATCTGTTCATTAACATTAACATGCAGATCCACAGTTGTCCTTAAGAATAATCCACTGAACGAAACACCAAAAAAGCAAATACCTAGGACATGTAAACTATAATGCAGTAGGGCAGTCAAACTGTATGCCTATTAACCCAGGATTACTCCACCCCAAGGTGCGCCCCCATGTGGACATTAAAGGCAGTGCGCTAAACCAAAACATCCCACACCAGCTAAATAAATGTCATTTCATTTCATTTTCAACGAATATGGAAATAAAAACAGTACCAGTTAAATAAGAATAAGGACAATAGCAGGTAACTAAATTGGCCACAACAATAAGTAATTACTTTTTTAGAAGTATCTTTTATTTTGTAACTTATTACATTATCTAAGTAACTTACCCAACACTGCTTTCAACTGTTTTGTAAACAATTGTATAACCTTAATGTGCACCCTCAGGGCAGTTGTCGTCTCAATCACTTCCTGAAACACGCATGTCTGGGCAAGAACAGTTTGGCACCTCTCTGCACCATGACTCAGCTGTGTCTGGGCTGAGTTGGGACCAAATTTACTTGGTTGAAAGTAATGTTTCATTAATGTTTGGAATAAAACAGTAGCTATAGCAGTGCTGGTCAGCCTGGTCTCATCTGCTCGGATGATATCCACCTGACATTGACGGGTACATCCCTTTTGGCTAAGAATTTGGCCCTGGCTCTAAATTCTTCCTGCCAGCTCAAATGACGGTCCAGAACAGAGGCCCGGGTGCAGAGTTGCTCTGCCACAACCTCCGAGCTCCCATCTGTTCAGTTACTAGCCAAAGAACCTAGTCAGATTGAAACTGTGTGTGTCTCGTTTGAAGTCTAAAATACTATACGCGAGGAAATCTGACCTGGGTGTCAGACACAGTAACCTAATAAAAGTTCAGATAGATAAAAATAGTTCTAAAAGTAGTTCAATCTGGAGAGACCAAGATAGACACATTAATGCATTTAGAAAGATTTATTTGTTTGGCGCATTGAACCCGGCAGGGACACTTGCAGAGGGGAGATCTTTTGATGCTGAAGAGGATCTCAGATCCCCAGGGGTCGAGCACTGGTGGTGGCTGGAGCATGGTGTGAATGGGGCGTAGGCAGAGCAGGAGCAAGGTCAGCAGCCAGAGCAGGAGCCAGGGCAGGAGCCAGGGCAGGAGCCAGGGCAGGAGCCAGGGCAGGAGCCAGGGCAGGAGCCAGGAGCCAGGGCAGGAGCCAGGGCAGGAGCCAGGACGGGAAACAGCGTGAGCCAGGGCAGAAGTTCAAGGAGGTCCTGGGGAGGTGGTGGGTGTCAAAACCTTTGAGAAGCGCTGGTTAGCAGGAAGTGGCTGCTTTTAAACTAGAGGTGTCCAAACAGGTCCAGAAAGGGCCGATGTGGCTGCAGGTTTTCTATCAGACCCAGCAGGACCAGAGCAGACTCCTCCCATTTCCTCAAATCTTCAGGTTAAGATTGAACTCATCTGAGGAAATGAGTGGAGTCTACTCTGCTTCTGTTGGGTCTGATAGAAAACCTGCAGCCACAGTGGCCCTTTCTGGACCGGTTTGGACACCCCTGTTTTAAACTGCCCGCTTTGCTGTCAGTAGGTTGGCAGGGGGGCTGGCCGAGTTGTGTGATTGGCTGAGGCTCAAGACTGGCAGAGCTGTGCAGTGTTGCCAACTTAGCGACTTTGTCGCTAGATTTAGCGACTTTTCAGACCCTATAGCGACTTTTTTTCAAAAAAGCGACTAGCGACAGATTTAGACAAAGCATTAAAATCATTAAATGTTGTTAATGTTGAAATTATTTTTGTACACTTGTAGTTCTAAACATATTTAGGGTGTTTTTTACTCACTTTTGTCTCTCCCACGACGTTATTCCTCTCTCCTACAGCGTCCGTTACAGTTATTTGCAAATTGCCAATTATGCAAATTAGGCGATGACGTCATTTAGCGACTTCTAGCGACTTTTGGGACAGCCAATAGCTACTTTCCTTACTGAGGAGTTGGCAACACTGGAGCTGTGTGATTGGTTGAGGCTCGAGACTGGCAGAGCTGTGTGATGGCTGAAGCACGAGAGGCTGGCCCTGGATGGGGTGAGAGCTGCAGCAGAGGTCTTTCCAGTCTTAATTTACCTTTAAAGGGCCCATATCACGGTTTTTGACTTTTCTCTGCTTTAAACATGATTACAATGCTATTTGGCCTTCATACACAAGCCCACAGTAGTTTATTCATTGATTCTGTCAATCTTTTGTAAGAGAGCAATCTGTCTCCTTCCCCAGCTTGAGGCACAGAAAGGCTCGGGTCCACTTCAGTGACGAAAACCACACTGATGACGCGCATGACGCGCATGACCCCGTTTGCTTTGTTTTTAAAATAGTTGTTAAATACTTTTGTCAAAACGGGGTAAACAATACACAGTTAGTATGCTGTTTTTGGCAAAAATAATAAAAATAAAAATAAATTAAAAGCCGGCGGGAGGTGATTGACGGATCAAAACAGCGAATCAGAGCGCACAGGCTCCGGCTCCCGAGTACAGCGTCTGTGGTCTGGTCTCGCGGACACCACATAGAGCTGCTGTTTTTATGCTTTTGTCAGCAACTAAAAGTGTTAGGATCACGTCAACTTGAATGAAGTGTGTTATGGGTGTAAATATGTGACGCACTATTTGGCCCTAACTGCTAATTTACACATCACGCGTTACAGCACGTAGGCGTTATACGCGCAGCAGACGCGCGTAACTTTTTTCCATGTTAACCTATGATGATATTTACACTTCTAGCGTTATACGCGCGTATGACGGACGTATGACGCAAAGCTGCGCTCTAATTTAGGATGGATTTCTAATTTTGTGCGCGCACCAACGCGTCTCCCATTGAAATCTCATGTAAAACATGATTTTTCTAGCGGTCCTTGGCTTTAGATCACATCTGCACACACACAGCACTTGTGTCTAAACATCAGCAGGAGGAGCAGCAGGTTTTACAGTGATTCTGGACATCGTTTTTTTTCTTTCATAAAGTCTCGCGTCTGGCCAAACCAGCGCACAGAGACCATGAAGACAAACACATGCATGTGAGGTGTGTTTCTCTACATCAGTCCTCTGGCCCGTACTGTCCTCTACACTGCTCCATAGACACACACAGGGAGAGCATCAGAAGACGCGGACCTGCGCGCACGGCCTGTGTAGATACTCCAAAAAATGTTACGCGCAGAGAGCGCGCAGTAAACGCGTACGCGCTGTTTACGCCTACTGTGTAAATTCCCTGTAAGAGGAAGAAAGCGGCTCAACCTTTTTCATCTGTTCATCTCGGGATCTTCATGGATCTATTATAATACCGGTTCATCTGCGACACTTCACTGAGACTGTTCCAGAACTACAGGGACAATGGAACTGGACTTACTCAAAAGCTGATCTGGAAACACATTATTCCCACGGTAAAAGACGTAACTCGGACCCGCTCGATCTGTAAGTAGTGACGCTAACTCGCTGTATACTTCTGTAAACTAAATAACTAGGGTCTGATTGTGCATC